GACCTATACACCCATCATGTGGACCATTTCAATATTGTATGGTCTTAATTGACGCTTCAAAATAATGGTTACATGTTTCATTATTATCTACTCAAAATGTTGCTTTTGCTTGTTTCTTGCCCAAATAATTCGATTATGAGCATAATTCCTAGATTACCCAATCAAGACCATTCATCTTGATAATGTTGTTGAATTTACATCTCAAACATTTGATGACTATTGCATGTCTGTTGGGATTGATGTGGAGCACTCAGTTGCTCATATTCACACCCAAAATGGTTTAGACGAGTTTCTCATCAAAAGATTTCAGTTAATTGCTTGACTCTTACTTATGATAACAAAGTTATCAATTTTTGTTTGAGGACATGCAATATTAAATGCAACAACCTTAGTTCGTATCCGACCAATTGCTTACCATCAATACTCTCCAATACAACTCGTACTTGGTCAACTCCCAGATATTTCTCACTTACAAATATTTGGTTATGTATATGTCCCAATTACACCCTTGCAGCATACTAAGATGGGTCCATAACATCAACAAGGAATTTATGTTGGGTATGATTCACCTTCAATTATTAGGTATTTTGAACATTTGACATGAGATATTTTTACTGGAAGATTTGTAGATTTTCATTTTGATGAGACAATATTCCCGCTGTTAGGGGAAAGAAATATGTTGACTGCTAAAGAAAGACATGAGCTTACTTGGACTTCAAAAACTATGTCTTATCTTGATTCACATATTCTTTAGTGTGAAACTGAAGTACAAAGGATTATTCACCTCCAAAGAATTGCTAATTAGTTGCCTGATGCATTTACTGATGCATCAAGAGTAACCAAGTCTTATGTGCTAGCTGTAAACACTCCAGCAAAGATTGATGTTACAATTGAAAATCTATGTCAGAAAATGAATCATCAACTACACGCTTAAAGCATGGACGTCCCATGGATTCAAAAAACTCCACTCCCCGGAAGAGGAGAGTAAAAGGGCAATCACATAAAACTCTTGAAGAAGTTTTTGAATTAAGGAATAAATATACACCCACACCATTTCAAAATGATATCCCCTGAAGAGGAAAAAGTCCCTGAAGTGACAGACTCCCGAAGAGATGCAAATATCTGCAAATGAAGAAATTTCGATTAACTATGCATATACATGAAAGATGTGGGATCGTGCAAAAATAAGCATCAGTGATGTATTTTCTTTTGCAGTAGCTACTAAAATCTTGAATGATGATGACCTCGAACCACGCACATAGATGAATGCCGACTTCGATATGATTGGCCAAAATGACAAGAAACAATTCAAGCAGAATTGGATTCTCTTGCAAAACGTGGAGTGTTTGGACTTGTAGTCCTAACACCTAATGATGTAAAACCTGTTGGTTGTATATGAGTTTTTGTGATAAAAAAAAATGACAAAAATGAGATCACAAGATGCAGAGCGAGCCTAATAGCGCAAGAGTTCCTGCAGAAACTTGAAATTGATTATGAAGAAACGTATTCATCAGTAATGGATGGAATTACATTTCGGTATCTTATTAGTCTAGTAGTCTCAGAAGGACTTGACATGCGTCTTATGGACGTGGTTACTGCATATTTATATAATAAGTTAGATACTAATATTCATATGAAAGTCCCTAAAGGATTACAATTGCCTGAAGCAAACACATCAAAATCATGCAACATGTACTTAATTAAGCTGAGATGATCCTTATATGGATTGAAACAATCTGGAAGAATGTAGTATAACCGTCTCAGTGAGCACCTAGTAAAGAAAGGGTGTGTTAACAATCCCATATACCCATGTGTATTTATTAAAAAATTAGAATATGAATTTGCCATCATTGCAGTATATGTTGATGATATGAATCTTACTGGAACTCTTAAAGAGTTGATAAAAGCTGTTGAACATTTGAAAAAAGAATTTGAGATGAAAGATCTTGGAAAAACAAAGTACTGTCTCGGCCTGTAGATCGAGAATACGTTAAACATAATTCTTATTCATCAAACAACCTATACTGAAAAAGGTCGTGAAGCGATTTAGCATGGATAAAGCATATTCGTTAAGTACTCAAATGGTTGTTCGATCTCTTGATATCAATAAGGACCCTTTTCGTCCTAAGGAGGAAAATGAAATGCTTTTTGATCCTATCATACCTAAGTGCAATTGATGCTTTGTTATACTTAACACAATGTATTAGGCCTGATATAGCATTTGCAGTCAACTTGTTGGCAAAATTTAGTTCTGCACCAACTTGACTACATTGAAATGTCATAAAATATGTTCTACGCTATCTTTGTGGAATTGCAGATTTGAGTTTGTTATGCTCAAAGCAATCAACCAATGGTTCACAGTTAGTATAATATGCAGATTTTGGATATCTATCAGACCTTCACAAAGCTCGTTCACAAACTGGGTATGTTTTCACATATGGTGACACAACGATCTCATGACGATCTACGAAGCAAACTTTGATTGCTACATCTTCCAATCATTTTGAAATACTTGCACTCCATGAAGTGAGCTGTGAATATGTGTGGCTAAGGTCTGTAGTCCATCACATCTGAGATATTTGCAGGCTTCCTTTGATTTAAAATTAGCTAACAACCTTATATGAAGATAATGTTATTTGCATTGCACAAATTAAAGGATGATTTATCAAAGGTGATAGAACCAAACATATTTCGCTAAAGTTCTTTTACACTCATGAACTCCAGCAAAGTCATGAAATTGAAGTAAATCAGATACAATCTAGTGATAATCTTGCCGATCTACTCACTAAAGTTTTACTATCATCAATGTTTAAGAAATTGGTATATGGCATTGGAATGTGCTAAGTTTGTGACAAATCCACTTGATTTCTAATTGGGGGGAGATTTTCATCAAGGGGAGTATCCACATCTAGATACAGAGCATATGCACGTTGTACTCCTTTTCATTCGTCTAGGTTTTGTCCCATTGGGTTTTCCTAACAAGGGTTTTAATGAGGCAACATTAGTGTGTCCAATGCTATTCTAAGATTCATTTGAATATGTACTCTTTTTTCCTTCGCAAGGGTTTTTCCCACATGATTTTTTTAGCAAGATTTTAACGAGGCATTTTATTTTAGCATAGTAGTCATTCAAGGGGGAGTGTTGTAAATATATTTGATATAGATATGGATGGACCCTAGTCTACCAATTTAATAGGTGTTAGTATTTGACTCTATAACTCTGCCTAGAGTAAATATTGTATTTGATGACCATTACTATTTAAGGCCTATAAAAGGAGGTTCTGACCACATTGAGAAATACAGAAGTTGATAAGTTTACACTCTAGCATATATATATATATATATATTTTTTTTTTATATTCTCTTGTAAGTTTATATAATTCTCTTGCTTTTACAACAAAATTAAAATAATGGGTAAGGTGTAATTTGATTTAAACACTTTAGAGATAGGCTGGACAACTTGGCAGATTTTGGATTAGTATAGCCATCACTAGTGTCTATGAGTGACCGAAGAGTCTTTAGTTCAATGATATTTTTTATCTTGTGAAAGTTTTGTCTTCTTAAAGTGAAGAGTTCAAGTCTCACTCTTTCTTCCCAAAAAAAAAAAATGAAACTAGTGACTATACGTGAGATAATTTTGCTGTCTGTTCTATGCATATAGACCATTGTTTATTTGTTAAACTAGTACTTTAGTTGGTTTCTTGAGGGTTTTTTTTAGCTGTTTCCTATTTGTGATTGAACTTTATGCTTATCCAATAAAATTCATTTGTTTACACAAAAAAAAACTTGAATCACTTAATTTTATCTGTAAAAGGTGTAGCTTGACTTTTAAAAATGATATTTTTTAAAATTGAGATTGATTATTACTTTTTAAGTTTCACTTAAACTATCGAAGAAGTGTAACTTGATTTTAAAATGTTGTAATTTTTGATTCGATAATTCCTTCACTTTTGTAGTAGTCCCTTTCTCTAATAATACAAAATACTGAATGTATGGGTGGAAAGAAGGCAGAAGAGCACTTGTAGATGTAAAATGGTTAATATTTGTGTGTGTGTGTATGTATGTAGGATGACTATGTATGGATAAAATGGCTGTAGTAAAGGCATGAAGAATTAAGTAGTTCACCCAACTGAAAAGTTGAGTTAGTCTATTTCAATGGAGTCTTTTACTTTATGGTTTGTATTGCTTCGAAAAAGAAAAAGAAAGTGGTCAGCCGAGTAACTATCCCTCCTGTCCTTCCTTAAGTTTGGTTGGCCGTTTGGAGTGTATGTTTTTATGGGCTTTTACCTTTCGTGGGCAACCTGGCCTTGGCTTGGTATGAGCCCTTCTGATGGCTGAATTGGGCTCATTTTTTGAGTAAGCGAACTTGACGAACATTTTTATTAATCCAAGCAGGATTGACATTACAAACAAGAATGCGAACATAACACATTTAATAATCAATGGTGGTCTCAACCCAAAACAGGTCAACTGCTTTAATCCAAATCTTCTAATTGTGCGTTGGGGTTGAATTCTGTCAACATCTTGGCTTCGAAAATTGTCATGACTGGTCAACAACAAAGACAAGTTTTTCTTTTGGTCATCTACTATTACAAGGAAGGGGGACGACAAGGGTCGAACTCGCGACCTTAATGTCCAGCAGCGGACGAAGTGCCCTTTTTTTTTTTGTCACTAGCATCTACTCTCCTCTTTATGCAATGCACTAATAAGACACAAGAAGTTCCCATATTAGTAGTAATGGTGTTGATATTGAATCGAACAAGCCGCAGATTAAGCATAGCAGCAGTGGACCCTTAAACCTCAAAACTCAAAAGCAAAAAGATTCTGAAGCTTTTGCACCATAGTTTGGCTTCCTGTCAGCACACGTTACTTGGCTTGCCGTTTAGTAACTTGTGCATACTATGATTTTCCATGAACCAGAGGACCTATCTCCTTAAAACCTTAAATTTGATGAATTTATGAATCAATCCAGAGGTTTCTCAGATTGCAATTTCTCCATGGTCACGTCTTGGGTATTTTTGCTGTTTCTTTGTGCTTGTACCACTTGGCAGACACCAGAAAATAGACCAAATTCAAAGCCATTAAAGCAGCAACCAGGGAGTAGAACTGTAGAAGTAATCCAATCTTCCCCTGTTGAGATCTTCCGCCAACCAGCTTCCTTTCGCCTCTATTCGGGTTGTCTTGTGAACGATTGATGCTATTAATGTACACAAATAACTCGACAATGCCACACCACACAGCACCAAAGATGCAGCAATAATGCTCCTCATGTTTTCTGGGGACTGTTTGTAGAAAAAGTTCATTCTTGCCAATGAAGGTAAACCCTTTGGCTAGTCCTATTAGTGCCAATTGAGAAATGTACCAGAATGACATGGAAGAAATTGCTCCTTTTCTTGGTTCAAATCCTAATGTTGGTCTTGTTGTGAAAGCCAAGTTTCTCCTTCGCGTTTCAACCAAGGCTGAAACTAACATACTCAATATCAAGAGGGCTAAGCCAATACCCATTCTCTGAAGCAGTGTGATACCATCTTCTTGTTTTGTATTTCTTCAGAAGAATGGAACTATGATCCTATTGTAGATTGGTAGCCAGATGGTGAGAGCCAACATCGCGAAAACATTGTAGGTTGCTGCTGGAATCTTGAAACCGCTTCGGCGTCTACTGGATTGAAGGGCTTGGAAGACTACATAGTTCTGTTGTTGGACCACAGAAACTTGGAATAGAATGCCTGCAACCCATATTGGAATCATTCTCGGCAAGCATTTCACTTCTTCCCCTTGCTGCATACCGCAAAGTCTCCATGGATTGGCTGCTGATCCATCTGTTTTGATTTGGTCTTCGGGTGCTATGATTGTTGCCTTGTCGAAAAATCTGGAATCATCATCTTTCCTAGTTAGCATCATTCGACTGGAATGGAGAAGAAATGGGGTTGATTTTTTAATTGGATGGGAAGCAAAGCTCGATTTTCAGTTATGAAGAATAAAAGTTGATTAGAGTTGGTTACCTGAATTGATCAGTGTAAGGAAGCTTCGAGTTGATCGAATCGTTTAGAGAAGGATAGACATTCTTATTTAGAGAAGGATAGCAACTCCGCTAGGAAATGGTCTCAATTTATACGAAGAGAAAACATGTCAAAACGAAAAGGAGACAAATTAGGTCGAGCTAATGAAGCTGTAAGGGCCATCATGACCTCCAAGAACAAAGTTTGCTTCTATTGTGTTCTCTCCTCTGCTTGTAACTCTATTCATCATGCTTAGTTTCCATGCTCAGGTAAGCAGATCTTTATTAGTGTCTTGTAGACTAGAAATTACATCATCAAATCTATTGGTTGGGTGAGATAAGTGCCTTTGTGATAAGGCTGCTCATTGGCATTGATTGTTAGAATTATCAAGCTGTTAGCTGTTGAAATTACAAATTAAAGAATCAACAGTACACTAACCAGGGCTAACAGCAATTTAATAGAACGTAGATTGCATTTTTACACACATAACCACCTACCTACCCACCCACCCACAGAACACACACACATTTTTCAAGATGCACACACAAGACCACTTTCTTTTCCTTTACTAACGCATTTCTTATAACGAGTTTTCGTGACTTTCGCAGTTGGAAATTCGGAGTAATTGCAATTGAAACCACCAACTACAGCCACCAAATGTTCGATGAAATTTCTCAAAGAGCCATGGACAAACTACCACCGCCGCCACCACCACAGGTAACTCCTCTTCCACCCCATCTGTCTCTCTCCCTTCACCTCTCTGTACACACACACAACCAACATAGGTACACAGCATACATAACACAAACACGCACAAAATGGGATATGCCATATCTTGGTGGTAGTGGTATTAAAGTGTAGGTGGCCAAGCTAGTGGTATTTTAGGTGTTTATTTTGGACCATGGTTTGGTGGAGGAAAGTATTACAGTGGGTATTTGTTTGTGTGATTGAAGAAATTCAATATGAACTAAAGGAAGGTGGGGATGGACAGGTGACAGGACAGAAGAAAGGCAGGAATTCATACATGCAGAAGGGGTGTGTTTGCACATTTATGTTAGCATTTTAGTTCACTTTTGTGGTATTTTCATTAAAAGTTTATGACTACAAATAATTTTTTGTTATACTGTCAGTAAAAGTTTTGTATATGCCATAGCTTTTGGTATTGCAATTATTTTTTGTGTTACACGATGACTCGAGACACGTGTTTTCTTTCTTTTTCCTTTTTGGTAAGGAAAATATTCCAAATTAACAATTTTTTTGTTATATAGTACCTATTATGTTTAAGTAGGATGATGTTTAATATTATTGTGTTTTTGTGGTAGTCGGTAAATAGTTGTGTTTAAGTAGAACAATGATTAATATTATGATGTTTTTGTGGTAAATGGTAACTATTTGTGTTTAGGGAGGACGATGGTAAATACTATTGGATTTTGTGAACTTGGTTTGATCAGGTTCAATTTGAATTCGATTTGATTAAGTTCACTTTGAATTTGGTTTAAGATTACTCTTGAGATAGTTGAACTTTAATTGAAATCGATTTTGTATTGTTGAATTTTATTGGGACTTGAATATATGAGAAAATTTGATGGAATAGGCATGAATATTTTGATTTTGGATTTAGGATTGTCTTAACATGATTATTTTGGTGTATATCACGTGACAATCATGTGGATGTTTAGTGAAATAAGCCTTTTAATGATTATGATTATGGTGTTTACACAAACTCATCTTTTGCGCAATTGGATTCACTAAAATGGGTTTGAAGGCATACTTGGATACCTGTATCTTAGAGAAATAAAAATCACATATCTTTGGGACCTGATTGTGTAAAAATTTTCAAATCAAGAAACCAAAAATTCTGGATTGCGGCATTTACTTTTGTTTTAAGAATAATACATGATCCAAGTTTCTTGTAATGTTTTATAATCATTGCTGCTAATGATTCAGGTATAATGTTTATTTTCTTTTGTATGCTCTGATAATTTGTGCCCTTTTTAGCATCATCTCATACGATATAAGATATCATATGTACGATATAATATGCATCGTCCGATATGTGCAAATATTTTTAAATTTTGTTTTTTAGTTTTTTGGCGGTGAAACAATGTGGGATTTTTTTTAAGCCCCAGCTAATGAAACAATGCCATTTTGGCTAAGGTGTAAATAAATAAAGTCCTTCAGTTTTTATGATCAACGAAGATCAAAAACAGCTTCTACCCGTCTGGATTTGCGAAGCAGCAGAAGCCCCACTCTACTCCATTGTACAACAAAAGTCCTTTCGAAATTTGAATTAGAGGTCTTTACATTTTGATATTAGTGAATTATATCATAAACTTGAATAGTTGGTAGAATATTTATGAAATACTATGTTATAATGAATTTATGACTGTTTTCACAAATATATATATTATTAATAATTATTTAAAATTATGCGTATAATACACGATATGATATAATACATTATTTTTAAAAAACGATATTCTTTCCTATACACAATTTGACAATCATGTCCTTGAACTTGATAGGGCTTTCCTTTGATTTTTTGTATGTTTGTGTGTTGGGAGAGCGGAGAGAAGGGGTGTTGAGGGCGTTTGCCCACTATATATATAACAAAGTCATCCTATACCAAACAAGAGCAAGTTTCTTCTTATCGGAATAGGAATTACGAAAATTCAAAATTTAAAATAAAAGATTTTTCTTAGTGATTCAAAAAATAACAAAGATTAAATGAATAAAAAGATTGATACATAAGATAAATACAAGAAAAGATAAGAAGAGATGCGCCTGCCCCTACAGATTTGATACCTTCTCCTACAAAGAAACTCATAACACCAACTCCATATATACATATATAAACACACACACACATACACATTATTAATTGTCCGTGCCTAAAGGTACTACATTACTTGTAAAAGATTGCAAATATTTGTTTATAAATAAAGGTAATGTATAATACAATTTCAATAATACAAAGATCCAGTTGACATTGTTCAACCTTTATGCAGAACATATATAATCAAACCTTTATATAACGAAAGTTATGCTACAATTATCGTAATATATTAATTCAAACACTTGAGAAAATATAATTATTATTGATCAAACATCCACAATTTCAACATTTTAATAAACTGTCCCAAATTTTAAAAAAATATAATTATTTACTTTTAACAGATTTCTACATAAAGTTCATAACATTATATCTGTACCATTTTTAATGTGAGTTTGTGTAACTTTTGTAAGAAAATAATCTAAAAGTTTCATGCGAATTCTCTTTAATGTAATAATTTTGTTGAGAAATTAAGATTAGTTTCCATTTAAGTTCAAATTGAATATTTGTAAAATTCAATCAAATTTAAGTTTAAGCAAAAATTTATAATTTGTACTCGACAATCAAATTTAGTTCAATTTGAGTCTTAATCATAATCATGTTAAACTGAGAATTGAATTTAAATTCGACTTAATTAACATTTCTATCTTAAATTTACAAAATAATTCTTATCTATTCTCGTTTATAGGGACACCATAGTTTTTTTAATTTAATTATTCTTCATTATTTTTATAATCAATTTCAATTTGACTTCAATTTGAATACTCGTAACATTCAAGTAAAGTTAAGTTTAAGTAAGAATATATACTTTATACTCGACAATCAAATTCAACTTAATTCAAATTCAAATTATAATCACTTCGAACTGATAATTGAGTAAAACGAAAGAGTTTTTGTAATTTTTGGGCAGGAAAAAATTTGGAGGAGTAGTTTCGATCATTTGATCAATAATCTTAAAATAATATGAGTCGCAAAAAGTTTAAGACAAATAATGCAAACTCCCTTATTATATAGCTATATCACAAATTATACATATATATATATATATATATATATATATATATATATATATATATATATATTATTCGCCTATTATACCATTCAAATGTTATAATATTTTTATTTTAACACGAAATATGACTTATATTATAGTCATTCAACTCGTTGTCACGCAAAAAATCTGTATTTAAGGTCTATTTATTTATTTAAAATTTCTAAAAATAATCATTAGTTATATAGAATCATAATTAACAACCTAATTAATTTGTTAGCAATTAATTTTTATACTGGTCGTCACAGTATGTGAGAGAGAGAAAGAGTTGACTGAGAGAGACATGTGAGCTGTATGAATATCACATAGTATAAGATAGAAATAGAGTTATAAGAGAGATAAGAGTTTTAGAATTGTAAAAAGAATGAAAATCTTGTTTAAAAAATTTGGGAAGGGGAGAAATTTCGCATTAGAATCTTCGGATCAATAATTTCCTCAAATAATTTGAGCTGCGAAAAACTCAAGACAAATAATTTAGCTAGTTTATTTTAAAAATTATAAGTTATCACCCATATAATTAATAAAATCTGATAAATATTTAATATATCGGTAATATCTTGTCATTAATGATACGAGGTATTAAAATCCAAAAACAAGATATGCACAAGTTATATATCTCACCGCTAAAATGGTTATCTTTTGCGTGCAATGATTTGACATAAATCAGATGATTTATTAGCTTCTTAAATATGATAACTACTACTCAAAAAAAGAAAAAGATGTATAGCATATATATACCAGTGCCCTAGCCTAGTGGCACATGGAGATTTCAATCCCATTACCATTGCTCAACTATCAGGAAAAAAAAAAAAAATTTATACGAGCGTTTTTTCCGATTGCATTTGGATGGCTTTGCCACCTGTTCCCTTGTACTTATACCACTTTGCACACACTAGGAAATAGGCTAGATTCAAGGCCTCCAAACCAGCAATTAGGTAATAAAAGTAATCCAATCTTGCCTCGTTAAGATCTTCAGCCAACCAGTTCTCTGTTGCAGATTTGCTTGTTGTCCTGTGAACAATTGAAGCTAAGAAACTACTCAAATAACTCGAACCCGCCAGGCCTACAAACAAGAAAGAGGCAGCAATGCTTCTCATGTTTTCTGGGCATTGCTTGTAGAAAAATTCATTCTCTCCAATTAGAGTGAATGCCTCAGAAAGTCCCGATAGCGCCAACTGTGGTATCAACCAAGATCCTGACATGGAAGAAATCACACCCTTTCTCGCTAAAAACCTGATTTCTGGCTCACCAAGGGCCATGGTCCTGCGTTTGTTTTCGACCAGGGCTGATACAAGCATATTGCATATGGAGAGAAACATGCCAATGCCCATCTTTTGCAGGAGTGTGATACCACCTTCTTTGCCTGTGTGTTTTCTTAGCCAAGGAACTATGATCCTGTCATAGATTGGAATCCAGATAGTGATGCTCAACATGGTGAAGACACTGTAAGAGGCTGCTGGGATCTTGAAATTGGTGTTCCTGAGGCGTCGATCAGATTGGAGGGCTTGAAAGACAGTGTAATTCTGTTGTTGGACCACGGAGACATAGTAGATGATTCCTGCTGCCCATATGGGAATGACCCTCAATAAGCATTTCACTTCTTCAACTTGCTGGATGCTGCTGAGTCTCCATGGATTAGCTGCTGATCCATCTGGATTAATTTGGTCTTCAGGGGTAATGATTGCTGCTTTGCTCACAAACCTGGAATCATCAGTGCATTGGTTAGTGATTACTTAATTGAAATTGAGGACTTAATTTATTTTACTGGTTTGATTGTCCATGCCAAGGAAGCAAATTTTTGTTATTGATTTCTTAGTTTTTGTACAAGTTTTTATGATCGATACTTAGCACCTTAAAATTTATAACTTGAACCCAAAAATTGTAACACAACTCCAAAAAATTGTACTTTTTTAGGATCGAAGTTAACATTCTAGGATTGATCTTAACTTTTTTTTTTTTTATTGTAACCAAACCCCCAAAACTTGTATCTTAGAGCATAAAAGTCTTAAACTTTGGTAGCATATCTCTTTCATTACTGAATTCAAATCCTATTCAAGATATGCTTATTTGTTCCTCTTGTTTGTCTTTGTTTTCTCTTTGCCTTGGTCTACATTCTCACCGGGGAAAAAAGGAGTAATACTATTTAAACTTAAAAATTTGATCTCATTTGTTGATTTAATTTATTATGATCTAATCAAATATTAAAACTTGTTCTTTATCTAATGGTTCTAATGAAACCACATCAGGTCAACAAATAAAGTCAAATTTTTAAGTCTAAGTATTAATCGGAAAAAAGAAAGGAACAAAAGGGATAATGACATTGATTTTCCTTGGCCACTAAGCAATTCAAGCCGACTCAAAAGTGCAAACAGAGGCTGGCAAAGCTCAATCACTCAAAGTGGAGGTTCATGTCTGGTGTCTACATGCCTACTTTGTAAATGGGTATAGATGCTTCTCAATGACACTGTCAGTCAACCATAGCTAGTGGTAAATGAATACCCAAAACCACGTGGTGAATATTTTTTTCAATTTCATGAGGAAAGACTCATTATTGGAAAATTTTTGGAGTGATTCGAGGAGATTAGATCACGTCGTCACTTGGATATAGGCAGAATTTTGTGTACCGTGCAAATATTGATGTTGGTTTTCTTCATTTGGTTTATTTATTTTTTTTTTATTGTCCAGATGAAAGTGTCCAAGAGGGATTACTGGTCTCTCAGGCAGTGATTGCAAACAAAGACAAAGTCAAGAGGCGCACTAAGAAAGAAAAACAGGATTTAGTGGTCTGTTTGATTTGCATAAAAAAAAATAGTATTCGAAAATAATTTTTGAAAAAAAATTTAAGAAAGTGTTTTTAAAAATTTTAGATTGTAAAACTTGGTTATATATTTTTGAACATAGTTTTAAAGAATAAAAAATTATTAAAATTTGTTTGAACAATAATTCACAAAACTTACAATTCTCACTTTTCTCGTTCTTTCCCCTTTCTCTATCTCCATAAAAACACACGCACACGCACATGGGCACACTACACACACACACACACACACAGAGACGCATACGCACACCCACATATCGACAAACACCCACACACGCACAGATCGACACACACACAAAATCTAACTCAAATCTAACTTAGATTTAACAAATTTAACTCAAATTTAGCAAATAATCTAATAAAGAGAGGGATTTTCAGAAAAAAATCTAATAGAGAAAGAGAGGCAAGAGAGTGACAAAGAACTTTGTTGCAGAGAGTGATAGAGACGAGAGCGTTTCAAGTCTTCGTTGCAGAGAAAGAGCACAGGTCTTTGTTGCAGAGAGATGGGCGACAGAAAGCTCCGGTCTGAATCGATGTAGGCAATCGTTGTATAGACAGAGAAGCGAAAGAGACATGCGATAAAGAGAAAGACTTTTATACTTCAACAAAAAAAATGTGATTTGCTGCTAAGGAAGTTCAATGGGTGGATATCATTAAAGAAGAGAGATTGTTTCTCTTGTTTTCTATTTGAGCAATGCTACATGGACTTAAAAAATAGACTTAAAAATTAGATTTGATAATCTCAACCATTGATTTCATTGTGAGTCCCAACATTTATTGGGACTCACTACCTATTCAATAGTTGAAATTATCAAGTCTAATTTTTAAGTGTAATTTTTTAATTCCATCTAGCATTATTCTTTCTAGTTTGCCTTGAAAACTCCAAAAGCATCATTCAGATGTTCTCTAGTTTTTGTTTTTAATTCTCACTTTTTTTGACAAATTGTTTTTGAACATTGTTGTTCAAGCAACATCTCAAGAGTTTTATTATTTTTGAGTATAGAAAACTGTTTTAGGGACACAAACCAAATAACCCCTAGGATTCTGTGAGAAAATAAGAATAATGAGCAGGAGAAATTTCTGTTCAAATGGAAAATGTGAAAGTTTTCAGAATCAAGGTTGGAAGGTTTTGGAGAATTGTTCAATGGAAAATTACCGGAAAAGAAAAAAGTTGTTGAACCACACCTAAGGTACCGTTTAGTAACACTTTTTAAAAATGTTTTTGTTGTTGTTGTTTTTTTTTTCTTTTTAAAGGACTTTTTTTGAGTAACCATGGTATTTGCATTTTGGCGCACTGTTTTTTTGTTCTTGTTTTTGTTTTTGTATCGTGGGTTACTCTCTCTTTTTAACCATAATCACATATATAGTAATATGCAATACCAGTTTATAAAAAGTACGATTTGCATACTAAAATAAATCTAGATCTCGTTTGTAAAATAGTACTTAAGCATACTTTTACCTTTTTGACAAAATTACTCTTTTGTTTAAAAAAAAAAAAAAAAGTTGCTCAAACAAGCGTTACCAAATGATAGTTTAAATTTTACTTTCTGAGTTAACAAGAATTTGTTATGGTTTGAGTGATTACCTGAATTGATCTGTGTAGGGAAGCTTGGAGTTGAGAGAGTCCTTAATACCATTGTCATAAAGGTAAAGCCATGGTTGATCTGGTAGCTGTAACTTCCTCTTCTTGATAGCAGCCACTATGACTTGTGCCACACTTGCCAGTGGACTACCTCTTGGTATCACTTTGACATATATTCTCGTACCCAAAAAGAACAGTGCACAAGAACAGAACATCAAAATCGCCGGAATTGCCAACCCGATGGACCAGCTCACGTCCGATTGTACGTAAACGATGACAGTCAGCGATGCCATCACGGCGAAAGTATAGGTGAAATAGTACCAGTTGAAGAAGCTGTCGATTCCTCTTCTGCCAGAGTCGGTATTGGGATTAAATTGATCAGCTCCAAAGGCCAAGTTACATGGTCGTATGCCACCAGATCCAACTACTAGTAGTCCAAAAGCAGTGAACAAAAAGGCTATTTGCCCTGGTGTTGGATCTGTACATTTGTTATTGTGTTCTGTTGTACAGTGAGGAGGGTGCAGGGTTGGAATAGCTGCTGTTAGAGTGAGAACAAGCATGCCCTGTAGTTCAGAGATTGGATGAGGCTATATCATATTAATACACAACGATGAAATAATTCTGTTACGCCTCCACCCCCCCCCCCCCCCCCCCCCCTTCCCAACCACCAGCGGCAGATAGGCTAGTCAAACAAAAACAATGTAACGTGCCCTCCTCTTCTAGTCACTAAGTAATGCTATCCTGTCATTCGAGAACTGGATTCCACCAAAAAATACTTTCTTCCCACTCCCACCCCCAAAATCAAAAAGAATAAATAACAACCTCAAGTTCTTTATGTGCAATAAACTAGGTAGTTAAATGTTATTCCCTTTGATTTCTTACGGCACTAATAAGATTATGATTTACAAATTTCACCTGGTTAGTGAACCCACGTTTTTTAAGAATCCCTTTTTTTGTATAAATAATCGAGAATCGTCTCAACAATGTGTTCTTTAGACTCATGACTTCTATGTAAATTTAGAATTTGCGTAATTACATGCAAACTGTATCACTTGCATTGGGTCTACTAGATTGTATATTTCTAGACTCCAACTTAATAAATCGAGATATTAACTACTAAAATTCTGTCGTTCGAACAAACTAGTTGGTTTTGGCTTTTGTTTTGACCTTGTTGTCACTCTGTCTTGTTCATGTTCTTGAAACTAGCGGTTGCTTATTAATTTTATCAATAATATTATTGAAACTTAAAAAATTGATCTAATTTACTGACATAATGATGTGTCAAGTGATGAAGTTCCAATGAAGAAATCCAAAAGTTACAATCACAATATTAGTATTGGACCATATCATTACCATATTATTAAGTTAACAAATTATATCAATTTTTTTAGATCCCAATAACATTAATCTGATTTTTTTCCCATAGTTTTTCGTGTGATGGTGGACACACAAAAAAAGAATATTTTTTTTTTAGAGTTTGACTTGGACAAGTTCATGATACGAAAATCCTTTAGATGAAGAACGCCCTTCTAATACAAGTCAAGGAAAGGAAAAGATTCAAGATTCCGAGACAAGAAGGGGTGAAGGTAATACATATAAACCTTCAATTCCAACATTGGGCTTGATATGCTTTTTCTTCCATTTCTTGAAATATATATACTCCATTTTTTTAGGCCATGAAGTATGAGAGAAGAGGACGGGGGTCAAAGTAATGAGACATTAGGATCGCATAACGATACCAATAATAATCATTTTTGACAAGGAGGAGACAGTAAAAGAAAAAAAGGGACATGAAGTCTATAGCTGCTTTGCTACAACTTGGTAATGACAGATAAAAGAGAGTTTTGGTACCAGGAAAGCAGATACTGAAGCAAAACCCAGAGTTTTGTAACGCCCAAAATAAGTATCCGATAGGAAAGCTCCGACCAAGGTACCAAAGTTACAAGTACCACTGAAGATGTTCATGAGATTAGTTGCTGTGATGGTCTTCAGGCTAAAGACAGTGGTGAGATACACCAAGAGGTTTGATGCGGTTCCTATTGTCCCCAGCTTCTCAAAGGTCTCATTGCCTGCAAGTTCATGTAATGGCTCATCAGAAATTTTAAAAAAAACAAAAAATGGGGAGCCTAATTAAGAAGAAGCATTGAAGCAGCATAAGGATATGACCGATAAAAAAAAATATTCTCATAATTGCGGGTTTAGAGAGTGACAAGTATTCACGACTTTGTATTTACCTATGACAAAGGGCATGGCTTTAATTCCTCTGTACTTAGGTTCATCGATACTGGTAACAGTATTCTTGTTCTTCTCCATCGTTTCTCTCGAAAAACTTAATAAGTCGGTGTATCTCTCCTTTCTCAGTTTCTCTCCCTCCTCACTCCTTGTTATACAGGGTTTTGAGTGCCAGAAAGAATGTGCAAAAGGAGAAGGTAAGGGTGGAGCTATATATACTAGAGCATCCACATCATTATTTATATTTTCCTTACCATTCAAGTCTATCTATTGACAAGGCATCTATCTTTCTTTTTCCTTGTGCCTCCCCACCAAAGCACTTTGTGTGACATAAGTTTTTCATGTACTTTTCTCAATTAAGGGGGTCCGTCCAGTTCTCAATCATCACAAGCTGGATTAAATATAAAGCGGTAACAACCAACAGTTTTGACTTTGATACCACTAGGCTTCAGTCCAATGGTCAAAAAATTATAGGAAACAGTTGTATAAGGCGGGTGCTCATAATTATTGTCTGTACTTGAAAGTATGGAGTAATAAAAAAAATGGTCAATAATAAATATATTTGTGTTTACACCTAAAATCAAATTACAAATATAGAGCAGAGATAAAAAAATTTAAATATTTGTTATAGTGAGCATGAGCGATAGTAGTGGTGGTGAGTAGCAATGACAATGCTGGGGTGGCAAAGGTGGTGGTGGTGGTGGTGGTGGTCGTGGTGATGGTCGTGAGAAGGGTTGGTGGGTCGGTAGGGGGTAGTGGTGGTAGGGGTAATGGTAGGACAAAGGCAATGGTGGGGTGAAGGTGATGGTGGTGGTGGTGATGGTGGCGACCAAGCGGTTGGGGTGGCGGCGACGATAGTGATGGTAAGGGGCAATGGTAATACTAGTGGTAAGGCGGCATTGGCGGTGGTTGTGATGGTGGTATGGTGGGGGCAACAACATTGGTGGTGGGGGGCTGTGGGGGATGGTGGTAGTGGTTTATGGTGGTGGTGAGGCGACAGGCGTAGTGGTGACATTGGTGGCGGTGGCAGTAGTAATGGTTGTTGTCGTAGAGGTGGTAAAGGGGTGGTGGTAGTGGTGATGGTGATAGTGGTGGGGTTGGTGTTGATACTACTTTTTAAAAAAAAAAATATTTATGAGAAGTTAAAAGTTCTAGAAGTATTTTTAAAAAGTCACCTAAACATACTTTTAGGGGCCTATTTTTCTATTAAATTTAGGGAGTTAATTTAATCATTTATCCATGTACAATAATGTACATATGTTGAAAAAATTTAATATAATGAAATCAATTTTTTGGGGACTCAAATTTTATATTTTATTGTTCATTTAGGCACAAGTTATGATTCGTGTGTGTGTGTGTGTATATATATATATATATCTATATATATATATATTAAGCAATGCTATTGAAATCTAATTTATTGACCTAATTCACTATAACTTTTGGATTAATTGTAGGGTCCATCAAACATTGGAATTTGATGTTGATTCAATGACTTTATTAAAGCCACATCATTATGTCAACAAATTAAGTCACATTTTTTAGTTCAAATAGTATTACCCATATATATATATATATATTATGCAAAAGACGAAAAGTGGTGGGAAGCTTATTATTGTTTTTTTACTAAATCAAAGTCCTGTAAATTAAAATTTGAGAGCGAAGTCAAGCAGCCCTAGCCTTTCTCCGCCGAGAGAGAGAGAGAGAGAGAGAGAGAGAGAGAGAGAGAGAGAGAGAGAGAGAGAGAGAGAGAGAGAGATTCAACTTCATTGGTAGATGTTTAGTGTTTATGAAAACTAGACTTGAAAATCTCAATTATTGAATAGATAATGGGTCTCAATAAATGCTAGGACTCACAGTGAAATTAATGGTTAAGATTATCAAATTTAATTTTTAAGTCTACATTTTAAGTCCATGTAACATTACTCTGAATGAATACATTATCTGTTGTTCTCTTTCTTTCCTATTTTGGTAAATTTGTTGGGGTGACTAGCTATCAAAGAAGGTTCGGCACACCAAGTGTGTACATAATTATATTGGGTTAATTATAGTTTGCCCCTTCCACATATATGCCCTTTGTTGCAATAAGTTCTTTGCGGTTTCAAAGGCTGCAATGTGCTTCATCTAAGTTTCAAATGGACTAAACTAATTGATAGTAATGACTCAAACGTGAAACTATCATTACACCATTCATTTTGTATGTTATTTTTCATATTTTATTTTGAGATACTAATTTTGTCCATTAAAAAAAAATAAAAACGAGAAAGCCAAGACTACAACACATCCATTTAGCTCACCAACACACTATGCAACATATTTGCCTTCACCTTCGCCTCCATCCAACACCAACACGTGCGTGTGTGCACACACACTCTTCCAGGGGTAGTGGTTATTGAGCTTATTTTGACGAAAGTTTTTTTTGAGTTATGACTTTTCAACAAAAAATAAAGATCATGTAAATTTCTTGATCTTAACTTCAGTCATTTTTTATGATCTAAAATTAATTGTTAGAGTTAATTCCAAAATATTCAAACTTAAAGAACACTAATTGTTGAAATTAAAATTTTAAGGAGTAAATAAAAAATTACCCAAACTTAAAATGGGGGATTTTGTAATTAACCCTAATATTTAAATCTATGGTATGCATTGGTTTCTTAAGTGAATCGATTAGCTTAAGGAATCCCATTTTCTAGAAGGTGAAAAGGTCGACCAACTAGGAATATTTTGTGGACTAAGCTTTCTAATCATGCGTGGGCCGATCATTCAAGAACTATGTGTCACACCTTTTTGAAAGTGAAGCGTATATAGCTGGTCACGTCTGGAATCATATTCTAAAGAGTAGTTTTAATTTATTAATTTAATTTATTATAATCTTTGAATCGACTGTGAGACTCATCAAATATTGAAACTTAGTGTTGATCAAATAATTTTACTGAAACTACGTCATTAGGTTATATTTTTAAGTCCAAATAATATTATTCTATTCTAAATCAATGTGAGGCTCAAATTAATTTGATAATTGTTGGTGCAATTTTTTTTTTTGGGGGAGGTGAGAGAGACTCTTCATACCTGTTGTAGAGTAAATCCAAACAAAGAGAAGTAAGAAGAGAGAACCCCGCATTTATTATGTGGACCGTATTTAAGTGGGAATTTATTGTATATATGTAGTTTTCTCATTTATTAATGATTGATGATCCATCAAAAAAGAATATATAATAATAATTCATATATAAATTGTCAGGGCTTATCATGAATTAGGTTAGGGTGGTTGGTGGTTTTGGGATCTCATAAAAAATATTTCTTTTATGACTCGAATATTAGCCATGATTCATATTTATTTAGTAATTCTACACCTTCTTCGTTCTTGGAGCTCGTTTTTTAGTATTGTGACTTGGTTATATCGGTCTCTCTGTTTAATTAGTATAATATTTCTGTCCTCGCTCTTCCGTGATTGAGAATGATACTTAATCCCAATACTTGCCCAACAGTGATACTCATTCTAGCTATTTGCTTGTGATACTATGCCCATTAAAGTTGGTGAACGTTTCTCTAACTTTAGATTCATTATGTTGTTTGATTATATTCGTTGACTCTGCTCTACGTCCACTAAAAATCGATTATTTTCGTCGCTGTCAGCGTTTAATACTTTTTCCACACCTTCAATAATTAGAAAAAGAAGCTGAAAGTAGAGTATCAGTAGGTTTTAGTGTGCACGACTTGTTTATGGTAGACAAGAGCTTTTTATCAATAGAAAATGTATGTAATCATTGGAGAGAGGTCGAGATTAATGACATTGTTGGATAAGCCGGAGTAACTCTTCCTCTCAACCTTTTCAAATACTTCGTTAGATCTTATTATGGACTAAATGCTAATGTTAAATCATTCTCTAACAACTTAAATATTTAAAGCAGTTTATGATTTATCATAGTGTCAAAGTCTAGAAGTTCGGAGTTCAAATTAAACGAGACTTACACTTCTAGTGCAATTGATGGTTTGACTCTCTTTCTTTGTGTCTGATATTTATAGTAGGCTGGGTTTCTAGTGTGGGCCTTTCCCTAGTGTCAAGATGGACCTCTAATTTGGGCTTAAACTCATCTATGGTTTGTTTGGTACGATAGCTAGAAAAATAGAAGAATAAAAAAAATTTCATCTATTTTTCTTTTCAATTTGGATGGATTGATTTTGGTGAGTTTGAAAGAAAGTTAATACATTATTTTTCTTTTATCAAACATGATATTTTATCTATTCTTCTAATTTTCCATTATTCTATTTTTTTATCGTACCAAATAAAACATTAGACTTTTGAGTTGACGCCGAGTTAGATTGGATGACTTATGCTCTTAGTAATAGGAACTAAGATACGATGAAAAATGGGATTAAATATTTTGAATTAATAATACAGTGTAATATCGCCTTATTAAAAAGTCTGATACTTTTAATGACATAAATATTATAAAACCATAATAACTGTCACTTTATTATGTCAATTATTAAATAAAATTTTAGGTCCCACCAGTGTAAACCAATTTTGGTATAAACATAACTACGAAGTACGAAGGATGCTCTAACCATGACCACATGTGCAATTGTCGTGATGCCACCTGTTGAATAACTATTTGTGTTGAATTTTTTTATCTCGATCACTGGGATATGAATCTCGAATTTTTTTATTTTCGCCACCTTTATTCTCTATAGATTATCGATCTTTAATGAGCGAGAGACTCAGCGAGAGACTTCTCTCCACATTCTTGTTCTCTAGGGTTTTGAGTACGGCAGAGAATGTGCAAACGGAGAAGGGAAGAGTGGAGCTTTATATATAATAGAGCATCTCTTTTTTTATTGGTTTAACGGTTATAGTTATTTGGGTCAGTTTATGTGTATTTCGATTAATTTTTTTTTAATTTGATTAAAAACAAATCAATCACGTGAGGACTAAAATATTCGTAAGATTCTGACTTTAAGAAATTATCAAAATTTGAATTAAGAAAAAAATATCTTTTTTGAAGAACCTTCCAGCAAAGCACTTTGTGTGACATTACTTTTGATGTTTTTTGTTGTAGTCTCAATTAAGGTGGTCTTGTCAAGTCGTCGATCATTACAAGATTGACTAAACATAAAGTGCTAGCAACCAACTGTTCTAGTTTCAAACCACTGCTTCACTTTAGAC